CAGCAGCATTCTCTCACTTTTTATCACATGTAAACAAAACAGATAGATTGGCTCATTTGTAATTTCAGCTGTGACTCCCGCAAGGGCATCGTCTTGAAGTGATTGGCAAGCGGCTTCACGCGTTAGCATCGACAAGAGACTCCGGATTGAACCACTCTGTGCTTTAATGGCGAATTTGTTCATGATCTTGGATCAAAATCATGGCTATTAATTAGATAGAACGCAAATATGAGATCATGGTGATCGTTAGGCGTTCTCCCCTGAATGGGCAATACAAATTACTGAGACGCTTTGATGAGACAGATTGCTGCAAAAGCTCCGCGATTGACGGACAAAAGCTCTGACATGGCAGAGGGCATCGGGCAAAAAAGAAGCCACAGAGGACAATTAGAAGCTGTTGAGATTGTAATAATGTGTTTTTGCAAAAATGGCACAACAATCACGGTTTTATTTTTAGATATTAGCCAACACTATTGATTGAAATAGTGTATTATATGGTGTGATTGTGGTAAATGATGCCCAGCGAGATCATGTTGAGGAGAGACGCAGAAAAGAGGAGAAAAAAGGTGCGCGAAAACACAAAAGAGTCTCATCGCGGTTCCAACTTTAACAGTTTTCCAATGATTTCATTTTGAGATCTCCTCGAGATTTTATGGGCATCCTCGCCCATATGTAATTCAGGTGCCCAATAGACGCGCTGTGCTCGCGAGACGCGGAGTTTGGAGGCCTTGAAAACACCAAGAATGATCATGTTAGTCTGACCTTGCGGCTGTTCTTCTTGTCTCTTCCACACCGTATTTCATGTGGCCATCCTGAACATCTCCGGCCACTCGCCATGTCCCTCGCGATCCGCCACCCCACCCACGGTCCCCGCGCGTCCGGGGCGTTATGGAAATGCGACCCGATGAGGATCGAGCGGAGCCCAAAATCCCAGAGAGATTCTCAGGCAGCAGGAATTCGCTCAATCGAGACCGCACGATCGCGTGAGTTTATTTTTAGCACTGGGACTTCAGAGAGGTGAGTTAACCCTTTCAGGACGAGAAGGTGGAGTTTATTCTGAAAGCCTTTCCCGGCATTTGAGAGATATTCTTTGCAAACTAATAACGTGTTTTCTTACTGCTATAGAATTGTATGTATAGAATCAGTAGTGAAGACTATTAGCAAATACGAGATACTTCCATTGGTCACATAAGATCCAGTCATCGTGCAGGGGTTAAAGGGAGGCTGACAAAAAACGGGAGACCCTCTCTTGTGAGGATTATTAATAACAGCATCCAAGATGCTGGCTAAACGATAGTAAAAACAATCTAGCGCATCGCGATCCAGGCATCATTCATCATCCTCTCTCGCAATGGCAGGTGCCTAAATGACCTCAGCAGAACCGCCAATTATTGCCTCACGTCTGATCTTCCTCAATTGCGGTGACGAAACAGTATCAAACACCGCGCTAATCTCTAATTGAGCCCCATCTCAAGGTCACGCCTCTTCCCGAAAAACCGCGGAATTCCTCGAGATTCCACCATCTGAGATTCCCTATCAGCCAGTTGACAAATGGACGAGAATATTGAGACAGAGAGCTCTAGTGTGGTGATTAATTAGACCACGAATTGATTGCTGAAGGAGAATCTTCCGAGAACTGCGCGCTGTCTCGCGTCTGGCAATGAAAACCGAAATGTTCTCCCAAAAAATTAATTGCTTTTGAATCTGATATGTTACCTGCTTGACTGGAGTGTTTCATTAAAACAATGACAGCGATTCTTTAAATAAAAGTGAGGCTCTGCTTACAGAGTTTGTTTGCTGAAATTCACATGGCGATTAAATACACATAAAGCGATTAAATGGTATATAATTCTTCGGTTTTGTGCCTTTATCTTGATTTTAGTTGAGTCCTGCTTTGATTTTGGAGTAAAACTGGATTCTTTGGCATTCAGATTGTGGATGGAAAATTTCAATTGTGAGTGTTACAAAGTTTTCGTTAGTGTCCTTGATATTTTTCATCCTTACTGGAAAATTTGAGTCTCTAGTTTCAAATTTGCGACTCTTCGCTTGAGCCGAAAACAGCCAAATGTTCTTTGTACACATTCTTGGAATCTGTCCATTAAACCTTCGCCAGGAGAGATCAAAAACATGTCATTCTGTGATGATTCTCCACCACTTTCTGCCTCTCATTCTCCCACTGAATTTGTCACACATTAGCGAATGTTCAAATCTCTATCCCGCTTTTACGATCACAAATTGGCGAGAAGCTATTAAATGTCCATCCCGACAAGATGGAGCTGAAGATTCGTCGAGGAATTTCCATTTGGACATTTGGCGCTTCGCGTAATTGGATTGTATGGCGAAAATAGGTGGACTCTTGATTTTCGGCAACAACTCTATTACATGTCATTAATCACCATCGTTGCCTCATGCAGAGATGAACGCTGAAAAGCCCGAGGAGAACTTGAGCGAAGTCTGTTGGCAGCTTCCTGGTGACCCGGAAGGGATGCGCGCGGGGCGAAGGATCGCGAGGCGATGGCCAATCAGAAGCTCATTAGGAATGTGGTGGGAAAGGTGAAAAAAAATTAATAGAAATATTATTTTCGTACATTGCCTATTAAGTCATCTCCGTTGGCTCTTGAGTCAGTTATGAGATCAAAGCTCTTTCATTAGAGGCCTTTTATTGTATAGAATTGACTTCAATTAGTTGATCTGATGAAATGATTGCGTTGGAAGCATGATGGGCTTCGGCTCCTAACACGAGCGCGCCCAAGACTTTGATGGCGAATAGATGGATGATGTGAAATGGAGAATGGCTTTTTTCCTGTGTGCGCGCACTGATGATGAGCAATATTTTAAGTTTCCTCCTAAGAACAAAATGCAATGATACGTTTTATCATAATTATTCTTTCGTGCCTTTCTTCGCTGCTGAGGGAATGTCTGTGGCCTTTTTTGCTGGCCTCAGCGGCAATAGATCTTGGCTGATCATCTTCAGTTTGAGCATGAAGATGGGGTTTTTTTTCTTCTCCCCGTAAACACGACAAATTGACGAATGATGCCAATTAATTTTTCAAGAGCCGTCCAATTTGGACGCTGAAATATTATGTGACAAAATAGTTGTTTTAACATTCTTCGCGCACAGGGCTTAGTTGAGCGCACAAAACAAAGAGTTTACTGTATAATTTGGGGTATTTTGGCACCTTACACACACATTGGTTGTCATGGATGAATTTATTTATTTCAGTGCTTAAATAATGCACTCTGGATTCGGCTAAAGACGCTTAATAAGCAAAAATGATGTGATTAAGTCCAGATTGCATTTCCACGCAGCGAGAAGTGTACAATATCAAAAATGTGCAGACGGAAGAAGTCCAAATGCGCAAAAAGCAACAATGTGGCGGCAGAAGTTTGCTACATTGTTGTTGCTTATCAATCTTAAGAAATTTCATTACAATCAGCAAATCAACAAAATATGAGTAAAATGGAGTATGATAAAAATTAGACAAGCTCTGTTCAGAATTGAAGAAACATCACGGGAAGATGGGGGAAATTAGGATTATCTGTTGCGCATTCAGCGTGATTAGAATTGTGGCTGTGTTCGAAGTGAATCACAAGACTTTGGGTCACCTTTCCGCCCATTGTCAGGTAAACGTCTCGTTTCAATTGATTCATCATTGCCTTTAAGAGAAATTTAAATTACAATTATGAAAATGCCTTCAGGACAGAGCTAATAATTTCATAAACTCTCTCCCTTCCTCCTCAGCGCGCCGCGGCCGTCTGACAGGCGCTGGACGCCAGAGATCGCGAAAGAGGAAACAAGAAGAAAATAATGCCGAGCACCGCGAGTGACCAGTTTTCCTTCCATGATCCATTTATGGGAAACTTTAATAAAAAGCCACCACAGCTAACGTCGCATATTCACCGGTCGGACGCTCGATCGCTGAAGGTGAGATATTCAAATTTCACAGTAAAAATATAGGACAGAGAAAAAGAAATCCTCATTGTCTCTTGTGCAAACCGAAATCCAGATTTTCGGTGAAATGAAGTCGTGCCAAACAATGTTAAATTATATTTTTTAAGCACTCACTCGAGGTCTCAATCATGTTTTACTTTCTTCTCTGGTGGTTTCTCGTCGCCAAACGTCTTGTTTTGCTGTTGGAAACAATGTCGTGTTGAGCATTTCGTTTCGATAATTTTCACATTGTACTCTGGATTATTTATTAGACTCGAGAGAGACCAGACAATTCCACCAAAGGCAGGATTGACAGGACTGAATAAGAGAAAAATGCTGGAATAATATGTAATTGTGAGAAGAAGAAAACTTCAGAGTGAGATTCTGTGTATTAAATGATAACGCAAATGTTGCTTTCCTGCCACACCAAATGCTTCTGGTCACCTTTTCTCTGGCCAAACCTAATTTTCCTCAGTCACACCAAAAGTTGCGTCATGACCTAGACTCGGGAATCTCATCAGTGTGTTTCTGGGAAATTTTCCAAAACTCCACCTGAGACTTTCATTGGCGTGAGAGCGGCGAAAGAGTGTCACAGCTTCACTTTTTTCTGCGTGAAATGTTTACCGAGATAGAGTGAGCAAATATTGACTTGCCATTTGAATTAGCATTTTGCACCTCGGCTGGTGATGCACGATGGCAGGAAGCCGGCGCCAGAACGGGTTCTGTGTCCTCCGCGAGTGATGCGATTCTCCTGAGGCGGCCAGCGAGTCTCAGGAAATTGCACACATTTAATTAATTTCCGCAGCTTCCCGCCATTCCTGTTTTTGGCGCACACGATCGTGCGCCGGGACAATGAACCAGCGGGATGAGCGCGAATCCTTGGCCATTGCGAGCGCTCAGGGAGTTTTAGGCGTTAATTCCGTGGGCATTGTTGCACCTTTCTTCGCAACGCCGGCACAGAGTCACCAACACAGTCTCCCCACCTGAGCAGGTGTGCACACAACACACGGAGAGCTTCGGTTCGCCGTTTGGCTTCTCACGGGCGCTTTCCTCGTCGGCGAGTCAGTTGAGTTGGGAACTTGAGCGTGAGTGCATGTCTCGCTTGTGTCGCCGAAAAATAGGAATGTTGTGACGGTGATCAAGAGCGAAAAGTGCGCGTGAAAAGAGTCTGAAACTGTGGAAAAATAATTCAATTTCGCGCCTGGTGTTTTTCGTGAGCCAAGAAGAAAAAAAACAGAGCTGAGATTATTGTGCAGTCACAGAACTGGAGAGAAAGAGAGAACTTGTTGATTTTGCAAGGAAATTGACTTGGTGGTTGTGAGTTCTGTTTTTTGCCTTTGCTATCAACCCTGAAGTCCAATTAAAAGAGCAAGCGATCGCGAGAACTGTGAGCGTCAACTTTGCCTAATTTTTGCCGATAATTCAATTCTAAATCCACTGTTAATTCCCCGCTTCGCATACAAAGTGGCTTAATTGTGTGCTTCTCTTCCTGCTTTTGCGGCGTCGCGCAGCACTCGAGGATTTAGGAGACTGCACTCGCCGTCCACTAGCCAAGGTATGTTGAGAGTGTCTCCGCGCAATCAAGGTGTCTGTATTTCGTTGTCCCTCCCGAAAAGAGCCACTTTTGGCCGCACCTGAGGCAGGTGTTTTCAGCTGAAACGCGCGACTTGAATAAATGAAGGGTGAAACTGAAGTCGTGTGCCTTTCACTCTCACTATAAATGCACAAAAAGCCACCAGTCTGTCCTGTGAATTTAATTACTCCCGCAGGACTAAAGTTTAATCAATAGAAATTTTGTGAGAGTGTGTGGAAAAGCATGTGGGAAATGTCTGGGCAAACAGACCTGAAAATCTAGTTCTTTTCCATCTCCTCAAATTACCATAAATTTGCGCGCTGTTCCCATTCTTTGCTACAATTTAAATGGCTGTGGAAGTTTTGCGGCGAGTAGGAAGTGCGTTATCAGCATTTCTTCTTTCGCCACGCAATATTTAAATTCGACACAAGTTTTCATGCGTACGACTCGAGCCGCTAATGAGGTCTCTGTCTCTCCATTTCGCTATTCATCAAGCTGAGAGGTCTAAAATTGAGTCAAGGACTATTTTTAAGAAGGGCTCTTGCGAGGAGTGTTTTTGTGGCATTTATAAATATCTCAATTTACATTATGAGGTGGAAAAGACTGCAATATGACTGCAATTCATTGGCGAATGGAGAAATAAGACATGAAAAGTTGTGCGAAATGTTATAATTATAACTTCATTTGATTTGTATCTATTTTTCAATGGCTCTTAAGAAAGTCTGTCGTGTGGTATTTATTTTGTCGCCACAGTATTTTGTCCGCTTTAAGCAGAAGCTTTGAAATTCTAATCAACTCACAAGGATAACATTTTTTTCACCAATTCATCTTCTGAGTGCTTCTTGCGTCATTTTTCTCAATTGTCTACGTAAATGCATATTAACAAATTTATCTTAAATACCTCCCAAGTGAAACATTTATCATGCTTTTCATCAATTCAACTCAATTTAATCTGGCTCCAATCTGGATGCAAAAAGTGGGAAAACCTTTCAGTCAATAAAAGCGAAATATGCTCTCCAATTAAGCAAAAAATTCCGCTAATAGAGCTAATAAATTGAATATTAGGCAAGATTCTCATAACATCCGCATTCTGATGTTTGCCAGTCAAAAGAACACCCTCTCGCGACTCGAGCGGATGTCGCTCATTTGCCAGTCCTGGATGAATGAGGTGAAGAGGTCAGAGCACAGCGTTTAGTCATAAGGATGTGGTCTCATTTGGGAAAAGGGGCGAAGAATATGATTTATCGTCTTGGCGGAGAAGTGAACCATTTAATTGTTTCACGTTCAAACGTCTCACGGTCTGAGTGTCTGGCAAACTTTGGCTGAAATTTCAGGCTGATGATGGTTTAGCATTGCCATGCAAGACTTTTGAAGTGCAAATAATAAATTATTAAAATCTCCCATGAGGAGCTACTCAACGAACGGCACGCATGATTGATGATGCTGCATTTGCTCTGCCATTCCCACAGACTCTTTTCTTGAATTTTTCACCTGAAAAATGCACATAATGCGCCTCTATGGCAAAAATCCACAATGCGAGAGGCGCAATTAATTCGCGAGTGGCCTTCGCATGAGCATTTCTGTCTCACGCGCGTCGCAAAAAAGTGCGTGAAAAGACTTTTCACAGATGTGTGTTGACGCAATTGCACTCTTTCGGCAACACCTTGGCCAATTTCTTTCGTGGTGTCTTTCCACGGGGACTTTTCTCTCCCATTGATAAGCCTTATCAATCGATAAGTGTGATCTTGAAGTCATGACAATAGAAAGCTATTATTAGACGCTTCACACTTTGATAAATAAATGACATTGCGATGTATTTTTCATGACTGTTTCCTAGGCAATAAACATACACAAATTGCGAAATACTCTCGCAATTGGGCAAATTTCACATTTCGGGAGAAGACTTCGCGAGGGGCTTCGAAGTCTTTTGTTCGGGCTCTCTTATTTTCATCTCGGCAGCCATCAGCTGTTGTCCCCTTGACAGACGTCCAAGACTAACGAGACGAAATTGTTGCAATTTACCTTTTCACTTATTTGGCTACACACATGACGATTTGGCCGGAGTTTTTGTGCCTCTGCAGAGCGCGGCAAAAAGCCAATAAATAAAATTTATGCTTCACCAGTAAAATGAAATATCACGTGAAATTTGAAAGTGTTTAATTCCCTTTCTGGCTCATGACGCTGAAGAAAAGTGCGCGATGCACGAAAATGAAATAGTTAAATTTAATTAAGCACCCATGAAAAGGTCTCTATCACTTGGCTGAAATCTTTCCCACTTAATCGGAAGCTCTTGGGCGGCAAAAAGTGAAGAAGCTTATTGGCTTTGCGTAAGATGATTAAAATTGCTTTCTCGCGATGCCACTGTGCGGAAATTTACATAATTGATATGCGATGAATTAGTAAATCACGTCAATTTCTTGAAAGGCGACGAAGGAAAAAAAACAGCCCGCCACAGAATTGATTGTGTCGCAACTGCATTTTTGTCCACACGAGGTGAAATCCAACAAAAAAGAGATCTTCTGAGTGAGCGAAAAAAGACGTGTGGATAATTTTTGCGAAAGACGCGAACGGAGTGAAAAAAGGCAATCAAAGATGAAGATCGAATAGCACTCCCCCGAAAAATTGGAGTCCTCAGCCAATGATCGTAAATTGCCTAGCCTCTGCAATTTCAGCAACACTCCTGAAGAGCAATTAACTGCGCGATGACTTTGCTTTGTGGCGGAAAGTATGAAATTTATGAAACATTGAGCGTAAATATTCTACTAAATTCCCTGAATTTTGCAGGATTAAATTTCTCTCTGCATGAAAAGTTGCCCAAGAACTTGCTAAAGAATATAGAGAAATATGTCACTACAGAAAGTTTGTTCGGGGAACAAACTTCAAGTGTGTTTTCTTGAAAGTTTCAAAGCTTCTGTTGACTCGGTTTTCACACCACGGATGCACTGGAAGGCGCGTGAAAGGTCTCGCGATAGAGACACACTTGGAATTGAGCCAGAGCTGCTGCTCGCAGCAATAATTGGCGGTTTTGGAGTGCACATTTAGACATTCCTTCTTGGCCACTCGAGCCAAAATGCTGCTGTCGAAGGGAAAATTTATGGCAATTTGCAAAGTTCGTGCGATGATTTTTGGTCTCGCGCAATTGGCAATCTGGCATTGAATTCCTCTGGCCAGTGTCTGCGCAAATATGGAGAAACATCCCAAAGGTCAGGAGCTTTTTTGCTTTGCTGCCAAGAGAACAAGTTGAGGATGTGTGAAGGAAGAGAACTTCTCTATGACATTTCACAAATGCACTTAATAAGCTCAAACAATACGGGAAAACTCGATAAGAATTCGAAATCTATCCGGTAATTATGTTTACAGCGTATGAAACGATTAACATCAATTTTTGCCATTGTGTTTCCAACAACTGCATCTTTTTTTGCCAAACCAACTGACCTCAAAGCTTCACATGATTTGTGTTGTGGCATTTTCGCTTATGACTTGGACTTGTGTGTCACAGAGAGACCTTTTTATTTCTCTCCGGCCAACAATGCATCGCAGAAAAAGGGATAAATTTAATTTGAAGCATTAACGTTGGGAAATGACGACTGCCAAGGGGTGAAGCAGTGCAGTGTGCGCCGGTGTTGGCGCGCTCAAGTCGCAAACCCCTTGGCGCAGCATCACGATTGAAAAAAGACACAATTAGAGAGATCGAGAGGAAGGCACAGAGAGGCAAAAAAGCCCAAGAGACATCTCGAGAATCCATGGAAGAAGGAACACAAAGAACGATATTTAAAATTGAATCACGAAAAATACTGAAAGCGATTTGTGGCTGTGATAAAAGTGCAATATTCTCTCTCTGTGTGTGCTTGTGTTCCAAATTTTTCCCCGCGCGCGAGTCTCGCTGCACATAAAAATCCCACAGATATCCAATATCCTAGAATTATCCAATTTTCTGCAATCGCCGGCGCGCTCGTGGGTTTCAAAAGCCGAGGGTGTTTCGGCCGTCTTAATTGAGATGTGGTTTAAAGGTATTTTGGGCTCGCAAGCTGGGTGTTAACGTCAGGAAAAAGGTGTGAGTACACGTGAAGACACATGCAAACAACTGCGCGAGCTTCAATCCAATTGTCAACATTTGGATTCCACGCGACTGCGATTCGGGTATTAAAATATTCATCAAAAAGGCACGATATAGTGCGCCGTGATTTCTTTGAACGGCTCGCGTCTAATAAAGCAATTGAGGGGAACTTTTATTGGACGAATGAAGTGTTTCTTTTCGGGGCGTCGCACCACGGAGAACTGATTCATTATGCAATGAGGTGACCCAATTGACAATTAGGACTCAAGTGGAGCTTTTCGTGCGCGATTCTCTCGAGCTTGAACAGATTCAGCATCAGTGTTTGTGGGAAATCTATTCAATTCCCACATAAACAATAAAAATCTTCAAAGTTATGACGGTTTTTTTACTCCAGGAGTTCAAAATCCCACCAAAGGTCAAGCAAACAATCGATAGCTGAGCAATTGGCGCGCAAGAAATGTTGCACATCAGAAGGTACAGAGGGTAATTACAAATTAAGCGAAATTGTGGGGCTTTTTCCCCATCTCGATCATTTCCTATGTTATTTGGCCCGGGAAAATTGCGAAAAGTGTGTCAGAGTCATTAGACGATTTACGATGATGAAACGGTCGCGCCACAATGTATGCCCGTCAAAATACTCTTATTAATTTTATTTCATCCACACAATGAATTAGAGGTCTTTTTTCCATCGCTGTAATTTCTTGGACGTTGCATCACGACAGATCAACACATCCATCATCGGGCCCATATCGATTCCATGCGCTGGCGTGCGGGGATTATTGAATTTTACAGTTTTTCGAGATTAACGCGGCCAGCGAGATCACCTTCTCAATTAATTTCTCTATTGTGGATGCGCGCGACGCGATGGTGTGGAAAAAATGTGGTGTTTCTTGTCGCGATCGCGATGAAAGATTGATTAAAATGT